TTGTCTTCCATAGGTACCACAGATGTTGGAATAAAAAGGTCTATTCCCTGTAGCACCACATCAACGATAGAATTAGCAACAACGCTAGGATCATTCGGTGAGAACAAACCTGCCTCCAAGGGTAGGATGCAAAAAAAGATTGCATCCCGTCCCAATCGGCTGACCTATAATTCCTAACACGGCGGCAACATGCAGTACGCAACCGTGACGAGAGCGTGAAATTCACCGTACTCCGGATCAGACAATTTTACGAGGAACCAAGAGGGGCATCGAAATATACATACGATTCAAGGTTAGCAGAAGGTCCAACAGAGAAGGTGAATCTTTCACATCTAGGATCCGCGTAGGCGAGGTAACCAGTTGTGTCAGTCCATATGTCAAAGCAAAATGATTAACAGATCTACCCGCATGATCAGTTAAACGAGAACAAACACATTCATCGTGGTGGGCGTTAAAATCACCAAGCATCACGATCTTTGCGGATGGGACCTATTGTAGCACGGACTTTGCGTTTTATGAATCGGTATGTGTCGGCATTACTGCTATGGAACCTCTAGAGGCACCCGTAGATGCGGGGATGGTCCTCACTGACTATGCACAGCCATAAAATGGACAGGTCCCTACCTTCAAGGCTGCCGGGGCGTCGAAAACAGATGTCCTCTCCGACGTACACGCAAATTTCAGCCCGGGGTACAAAGGAGTGTTCTAATTTGTACCTGTGTAGGAGAGATACGAAGTATCAGCCAGATAGAACACCTATGTATTGGTTAGAAAGAGCATGACCGGCATGAATATTTGAATGAAGTCCTCTAATGTTGCAGAAATTCACGGATAGCGTGACAGTGCGCGCCTTTGACTTATTGCTCCGTTTGCCCCCGGCAGGTTTAGTCTCGAGCTAAATCGCCCCACCCCCCTCCCAGAATACGCGGGGTAGCCTGAGCACTCACGCTCAGGAGTGGAGAAGCTTGAACGTCGATGCTCGTCGAGGGATTCTCCAGGGCTGCTGGTACCCTCCTGGGGTAGTTTTCATTTAATTTCGCTACTATGTTGATGGGGGGGGGAATTGGACCTATGGCCACCTGCACTCACCAAACGGAACGCAGAAGCAAAGTTACCCCGGTTGGAGTTGGCCCATACATGCAACAGCAAAGGCTGCCGCGTGGATCTACCACTGTTAAATGATACTGAAGCCTTTTCAGGATGATTCGTAATTATTCTCGAAAACAGCACGTTTACTCGGCTAAGAAGGGAAATCAGTCTGTTGTTCTTCAAGAGAGCGTTGTCGCTTTTCTTGAAAAATAAGATCACCGCACTTCTGCTCCACCTCTCTGGAGTAGTTCTACCATGAAGGATGGAGTTAAGAGCTTCTGAAGGACTTTGAGTACCGGCTTTCAAACCACTTTCGGAAGCTCCACTGTATTTTCATTCTTGCTTAAGGTTGGCCGTTTTTAAGGTGCTAGAGAGCTATTCTAAGCTCACTCAGACTGACGTCCACGATTTCATCGAAATAGTGTTTGATAATACTTGCTCTTGTATTACATCAACGTCGGAACCACAATTTCGTGTGGCTCTAACGATGATGTGTACAGCTGCTCATAGAACCTCTCAATCTCACTCAAATTCTCATGCGTCCCGGAAACAATGGTGTCACACTCGGTCTTCAGCTTCGAGAGTTGGTTTTTTCTGGCAACTATATCTCTGGCAAATACTTTGGAGCCTTGGTTCCGCGTGATCGCTTCTTCAATACGAGCTCTATTAAAATTGCGTAATTCCCACCGCATACATTTTAGATCTGATTGTTCAGTAGCCTGTATGCCGTCAAATCCGTTGAAGACTGCAGTTTCATTTCCCGTCTAACACCCATGAGATTAAGAGTGTGATCGGAGAGTTTTAGTATTCCTCTGCGACGGGTCTTGCAGAACTTAGCTCCGACAGCACGCACAGTTTCTACGAACTTGTCATGCATATCATCTACTGCATTGCAGTCTTATAGACAATGAAAACGGTTTTGTAACTTGAGCTAAAAAGTTTCGAGACTTTGGATTAGAGTACAGGAGGGACGGAGCGTTGACTTCTATAAACAAGAGCTGTTCAAGTTTACGTTTAAGTTCAGTGTGTCTATAATAAATCAGTCATAGCTGCCAGTTTTCACCCTTGTGATCACTGAGACATCACTGAACAGTTGCTATCTAGTTGGTATAATGAAGTCAATCTCATTTTTTGTTGAACCTTCGAGACTCGAGCAGGTCCACTTTCTGTGGGGCCGCTTTTTGAAGAAGGAGTTCATCATAAAGAGTCTCCCTTTTCCAAGAAGTCAACCTGCTACTTGCCCATTTGGTTCCATTGCCCTATCCCAAATTTCCCTATATTTTTCTCTCTTGTGCTTAGTCTTGTGTTGAAGTCTCCCATTGATACCATATAGTGGGATTTGTAGGAATCCATTCCTCTAGAGATATTCTCATATTTTTCCTCAACCTCCATTCGGAATGTGTCGAGGTTGATGCGTAAGTACCTTCAGCAAATACCGTTTGGTGATTCTGAGTGTAAGGTTACCTTCGTCGAGACACTTCCAATCTTTACAAAGTTGTTAACGAGAGACTTGTGGACGATAAATCCTACACCTCCTTGGGATAGATAATCGCCCTCCGGGTGATGGAACAAGATGCCAGATTCGAGGATCACCGTATCCTTCACATCTCTTCGTATCTCAGATAATCTAATAATATTCCAGTTCAATTTGTCTATCTTTCCTTCCACCTCCAGGATTTTCTCGTCAGTCCTCAGGGTAGGTGCGTTATATGTTGCCAGGTAGAGTCGTATTAAGCCCCACCATTATCATGGTTGCCACAGTAGCCAGAAATAGCGGAGTCACCAGGGACTGGGGGCCGTCTCTTCGTAACTCTCAACATGGTTGGTATATTGTCATAGTTGCCACGCTTGGCGAGCGTGTTGGCAACCACAGTTTTTTTTATTATACATTTGCTTGCAAGTCAGTAATAAATGATTATCGATATGATTTGACACGGGAATCATTTCTGTGAGCATATATACACGATGTGCGTCCCTATAGTGTGAACTAATTTAGCATTACTATTACTAAACCAAATAATGCTTTGTTCGCTAATAACTTACAAACACAACGTAATTTTCTCTGCTCTCTTCCTTTTTAAACAAATTTAGTCAGACATGGAGTTGGTGGTATTAGTGAGTTTATATCAAATTTACAATTATACGAATGTAAGCAAGTACGATAATTCTACTATATTTAAAAACTATTTGGTAAAACATTTTTAGTTAAATTACAAAACGGAAAAAACGTGTTTGATTTCCTTAGAAATAACTTTTTTTGGTATTATCTACGAAGGAAATTTTATAATAAGCGTATAAGCGCTAAATGTTAACATTGGCAAGAACTTTGTTTAATTTTTGTTTTTTTTTTCTGTTTAAACCAGTTCCAGATATTTTTAGCATTACACAAGCGTTTTCAGCGTTAAGGTTTCCGCTTATTCAGTCTTTTTTGAGTTTGTTTTTAATTAAATAATAAATAAAATAAAATAGCTAAAATTATTGCAACGGTCTTAATTCTCTCGTTAACTACCTGAACTGTGTTTAAATTTATTGGGCGGGAAGCGATTTACGACTGTAATCGAATCCAGGACTTTTGTGAGTTTCGCAGTTTTTATTCATATTCTTAACCATTATGCTACAGTCGTCTTAAAAAATTATCGCTAAGCAATTAATGTCAAAAGGTTTCTTATGTTTCCATTTTTGAACATGATAAATAGTAACCATTTAATATCTTTCACTTTTCAAACAAATATTTCAATGCAACGCAATGTATTTACAGTATTGTATTGTGGTAGAACTATCTTTCTTGTAAGGAATTCAGGTTGGTGAGGACCATTTTCTTACCGGTGTTTACTTTTAAATAGCAGTGCTTGCATCTGTGGAAGCACATGCTGTGAGGTATTACATCCAATTCCTAAGAGGTGACAACGCATCTGTAGCCTTCTTTGTTTGAAGTTCGTTGCGACGGCCTTAGGCTGCAGTGGCCACTTGTCAATAAGTGGACACGTTTATATGCCACTTTAGTTTTATTAAAAAAAAATCAGTGCATATTGAACAACTTTATATTTGACTTTAATATTTAATCGTTATATTGAAGTTCATTAACTTTTAATACTGAAATAGTTTCTTACTTAATATCACTACTTCATATACTCGTATCGTATAACCGATTCAACTTTTGTAAAATAAAATAAAATTTTAAGACAACTCAAAGAACTATATTAAAAACAAGACTACAGACAACTTTCTATGTATATTTTAATGAGACTGAATATGAATTGTAACGTGTAGTGACGGTGTAAGAATATCCTCTTACCTCATGTGTCGTGTCATGTCGTAAGAGGCGACAGAGGAAAATTAACTAGATGATGGTTGCTTCATTTTTCTTTTACTTTGTGAAGTGTAATGGTGGAAATAGAATTATAATCTCCCGATGTATTCCTTGACTGAACTTGAGAATCAAATAGGCTCTTATATGCAGTTATTGTCTTTTTTGGAGCTACCTTAATCTCATTAAAAAGCTGCAGCGTCTTCCTATTACCAGCTAAACATTAAAAAAGTCCGGTTGCGAACCCGCCTGATAAGCGTGGTAACCAATCAATCCAAAGATCTCCTCTAAAGCAATCTATGGAGAAACCTATGCCCGGTGGTATTTTATTTTAAACGCTGTATTTTACTATTATAATATTATTATAACTTAAATTTTATAACATAATCACAAGTTAAACGAAAGTTTAATTTTTTGTCTAGGGTATATGACTATAAATATTTATTTTATTTTTTTTTATTTTTATTTATTAGGAAAACAAACAGTGTTTTATTACAAAACAACATAACTGAATTAAAACTATACACCATTTACATGTTTTCGCAATTGAATTACAAAAGAGCTTGTTCACTTGATACACTTTTATTAAGATGGTAAATGACACCTAAGGATCAGTTCGAGAGCCATCAAACCAAGAGTCCGTCAAAGTGGTTTTGAAACGAAGTGTTGAAGAAGTAAAGAGATCAAGCTGCGTAGACGCCACTGCACTATTTAAAGTTTTTGCGGCACGAATAAAGAAAGTGTTTTGTCTGTAATTGGATGAGGACTGTGGAATATCCAAACATATAGGTTGCCTTGATGTTTTATAAGGCACCCTCATGTTGATTTTCGAGAGTAAATGCGGAGAATCTACACGGTTTTGAGCAATTTTGACTAGGAAAACCACGTCGGCAATTTGTCTCCGTTCCTTTAAGGGTAGTAAATGGTGTCTACGGCACCCCGCCTCATAATTGCAATCGTTGCTTCCCAGCCTGTACTGTAGATATTTCAAAAATCTACGTTGTATGGACTCGATCCTATCAATGTATACATTGTAACGTGGATTCCATACCTGTGAGCAATACTCAAGAATACTACGCACCAAGGAACAATAAAGGACCTTAATTACCTTTATACTATGGAATTGGGAGCTCGACCGAAAAACAAAGCCCATAGTTTTATTAGCCTTTCTACAGATTTGGTCTATATGCCTTTCGTATGTTAATTTACGATCATGCATAATACCCAGATCACGAATCTCATCTACCCTGTGTAACACCTGATCAGTAAGTTTATATAGAGTTTCCACAAATTTAAATTTGCGAGTGAAAGTCATACAGTAACATTTCTGAATGTTTAGCCGTAAGTTATTACGAAAGCAGTATTGTTCAAAACGTTCCAAATCCTCCTGTAATAGCTTAGTATCGCGTAGTGAATCAATCCTTTTAAATATCTTCATGTCATCCGCGTATAGAAGGAAGTTAGAGTGTTGGAAACAAGAGGCTACGTCGTTTATAAAAATATTAAAAAGTAAAGGTCCCAGCAAAGATCCCTGGGGAACTCCAGAAGGGACATCATTCCAGTTTGATGAGAATCCATTCACTACTACTGCTTGCGATCTTTTTTCAATGTAGGATGTAAACCAACGGTATAAATTACCATGAATTCCAGCAAACAGGAGCTTTTGTAGCAGTATTTGATGATCAATACAATCAAAGGCTTTGCTAAAATCCGTAAAAATAGCGTCAACTTGACCCCCAGAATCCATGCCAGCTGTAAGAAAATCTGTGAAAAATAAAAGATTAGACGAAGTAGAACGCATCGCTAAAAATCCATGTTGTTCTGGAATAAAAAATGATGATAATGATTGATAAACTTGAGAATACACTATGCGTTCAAACACTTTAGCGAACAGGCATAATTTAGATATAGGTCTGTAGTTCTTGATGTCATTTTTACTACCACCTTTATGTATCGGGGAAATAAATGCGGATTTCCAAATACGAGGTACAAGTCCCTCCGTGATTGAGCGCTTGAATAGAATAGATAATGGTACGGAAATTGACTCTGCGCATTTGACGACAAAGATCGGTACAATCTGGTCTGGCCCTGAACCCTTGGTTAAGTCTAAAGCCTTTAATAACGTTAAAATTGAATCCGTACTGATTTCCACATTACTAATACAAACAGAGACGCTATTTGAGTTTAAAGGTGAGTATTTGAAGTTATTACTATGTGACAATGGAGTAAGAAAAGTGGATTGGAAATACGAAGCAAAAAGATCACAAATACCATGACCAGTATCTGCAGACCGTCCTTCGTAGTGTAATTTAGACGGAAGTGAGTTAGAGCCCTTATTGAATGATTTTACAAACGACCAAAACTTTTTTGGTTGCCTAACTATCGCATCTTCCGTGCATTTTATGTAATTATTATAGCACTCCTGTTCCAGGCGTTTAGCCCTAGTTCTAAGAAGTCGAAAAGTATCGAGGTCAACCATGTTACCATATACCTGATATCTTTTATAATATTTGTATTTTTCTTTCAATAGTTTCTTGAGTGAACAGCTATACCAAAGTGGAAAAGAGGAAGAAGTTATTATTTTATGAGGGACATGTTTATCTCTAACATTATATAAGTGGGCATAAAATATATCAACGGCATTGTCCAACGGACCATTGTTCAAGTCTATCACCCAGTTCACTTTATTTAGTGAGGAAGAAATGGCCTCGTAATCTGCTTTGTCATAAAAATATTTGAGTCTGAGATTAGTTCCAAGTGAATCGTCTAGAGCAAAGGTCAAGGTCAGATCTAACGACTTGTGGTGAGGGTCCTCTGGTACCAGAGGATCGTTACATGCCGATACACACACGTATTTGTTACACAAAACATAATCGAGTATTCTATTGTTAATATTTCTATTCAAGTTAAACTGATTAAGGTTGCACTCGGCTAATGTATCGAAAAATAATAACTGCGATTCACCAAGGATCCCAATAGGTTGCAGACAGTCAATCTCACCATTCCAGTTGATGTTACTTAAGTTAAAGTCTCCCATTATTAAAAATAAGTCGTTCGGACATGAACTAACAATGAGTGACAGCTTCTCTGAGAAGTTTTGCAATTGCGTATTGAAAGAATTACCTAGATTTTCCTTACACAAGTATAAGGTGCAAATGTGAATATTATTTGAATGTAATCCCCGTTTTCCTTTTTTCGATGTGATTGTAACCCAGATGTCTTCGGCAGAGGAGTGCCATTCTGGGCGTTCCACTGCAGCTAACCGACGGTGAGTAGCCAACAATACCCCACCTCCATACTTCAACTGTGTCGATTGATAATTCCTATCACGCCGCCAGACAATGTACCTATCATCGAATAATTCGCTATCACTTAGACCATCCGTAAGCCAGGTCTCCGTTAGTGAGATAATATCGTAAGAGGACAGGAGTAAACTCCGCTGGAATGCGTAAGTCTTGGTGCGTAGACCCCGAGCATTTTGGTAATACAGTTTAAGGTCGTACGAAGCCATTAGTAATCATGAAAAACATATACAAACACGTGCGCATACACTTACATATGTAACCACATAAACATACACATACATGCACACGCATACCTACGCATAAAAACATATATACACACACATGTGATACATAAATATACATACAATCCGCAACTTGAGCAAAACCGCAGCTAATAAGATTATTATCAAAAAAATAAAACATGAGGTACCAATTATCACTATAGATAATCACAAGACCAGTGGACGTATGAGTGTAACAGTCACTCTCAGCCCATAATAACAACATGAAGTATAATTTCATTATTACGTATATATAAGAATGTGTATATAATGATAAAAATACAAATAAGGATACACCTTCAGGCCGATAATACCCGGAGAGGCGGGTACTCAGACTTAGTAACAAAGTGTTCGCATCCGTAAAATATAAGAGTATATAAAATATATTTTGTAATAATAATATACCTTTACGCGTATAGTACTTGAAGAGACAGCCATTTACAATTCCTATGTACTGGCAATTACTTGAACATAGGAGAGAAAATTGAGCGTAAACGCGTAACAAATTCCAGTTTAACATTAACATTAAGACGACAAGTCCAGAAAATATAAATGGTAATAGATTACGATTGGTGGTACTATTTCGATTGATATTAGTATTAATTCGAGATAATTTCATATTAAAATAGCAAATAATAACAGCAATAAATAGTAGGGTAAATATGAAATAGTTAATAATAGGTCTTGTGCAGTCGAAGTAAATGACAGGCAAAATCAGACTTAAGTTTAGTAGCGCGCAATCTAAAATGGGTAGTACGCTGATGTATAAACGTGCCCATACGGGTGAACGTTGCGTCAATGGCTGCATACTTACATATGATATTAGCTTGAACTCTGCAACACAGTCATATTTATGGATAAAATAAAACGTTAACAAACAGACGGTGACGGCTCTCAAACTTTGTAACAATATTTCATAAGACAATAAATTTTTTGAGTACAAAAGAAAAAAGGTCAAATTAATATTTAAACTATTCTGACAAGATCTTTCTCGCACCTTATAAAAAATATAGGAGAAGTATCAGACTTCCTGGCCATAATTTTTGAGTGCTTAACCCATATATATTTAAAATTATTATTTTTCGCCAGAGATTTGGCTTTGCTCAGTAAAACCTTGTTCCGTTGAGTTAGGTGATCATTCACATAACAATATCCAGTAGATGCAAAGCCCATGTCCGACACCGACAGCCGAGTCTTACGCGATGATGAAACAAAATTTTCCTTAATATATCGATTGTTAAAGGAAACAATTATTGGTTTCTCAACATTCGGTACACGAGTGGGCACTCTGGCTATATAATTTATATCTTCTTTTTTTACAGGAAAATTACACATGTTGCCAATTTTCTGAGTTAAATCATAGAGGTCTTCATTATTTTTTTGTGGTATTCCCCTGATTTCAATATTGTTGGATCTAGCCCACTGGTCCCTGATGTCAAGTTCCTGGTTTAACTTGGTTATTTCCGCACGCAGCCCTGATACGTCATTCGCCATCTCCTCCGCTTTAGCTATCCTCGATTCCAGGGATTTAACAGTACTCGAAAATTTATCTATTAACTCATGTGCCATTTCTAACGACGACTTTAGACTAATGACATCCGACTTGATGGATTTGATGTCTTCCATCAGCGACGCCAATGGAGCCAACCGTAGATTAATATGGCTCAGCTGTTCTAGCACACTATCCATCTGACTAATCGCTGGTGAGTTAGGAGTCGGCGAAAGTGGTGGGCCCGCCTTGCACTTCGGACAGCGCCAGTTGTTCTTCCTGTCACCAAGCTTCCGAAACCCGGTCTCAGTAACTCCAGCACAACCGAAGTCGTACCGATTCTTACATAAACTGCAAACAGGACCGTCAGAGTGTTGAAGGCCGCAACCAGAGCAGGTAAACATTATGAAAAGTTTGAGAAAGACTGATTGAGAAAGATTGAGATAACTATTCAAACGAACAAGCGTGTGTTTAGCGACAATGTCAAAGGACAACTGAAGAACACTTATTCAAATATATCTGAAAAAAATAAAAATCCACACAAATTGTTTTATAAACGTAACACCTGTTACGTAAAACATTATTCAATTAACATTTAAATAGTAATTTCCACTTAGTTTCTCATTTTTCCTTCAGACTAAAATACCTTAGTATATACCTAAGTAATTACATTCACCAGTCGGCCAAAAAATTAGTGATAAAGAAGGAACCAAATAAATTAGGCACAAGAAATCAATTATTTGTTTTACTCTAAGCAATCATTATTTATGATTTCAATTTCACAGACCATTTGCCTCGGTCACTTTACTAGGGAAATCTTGAGTGCTAAGTTTCTGTTATTTGTCGGTGTGAAATGTACTGAAAATAATTTTCCGGGTCCATAATCGTCATGTTACTCACAATACTACAAAGTATTTGGAAATACAAAATATTGTAAAAGCTGGAGCAACTGGTGTCCTTGGCTTGCCGTGTAGTGTCCGTGTAAGAAATAAAATGAAACGAATGCTGTAAAAAAATTGTGAAAAACTAGGGTTGCAAAACCGCTAGTCAAACGTGGCAATTATGGAAAGTATCAGTCAATAAGGCAGGCTAGGAAGGAAGCCTGTGTATGGATGTTGACATTTGATAGGCTGTAATTTTGTTTTATTATTTATTAATGAAATTGATATTTGACATTGACAGTAACTAACAAACTTACAGTTCACCTGATTATAAGTGGCTACTGCACCCCGCAAACATCTACATCCAACTTCAAGTAAATACGGTTACAGGTGTGTTGAGATGTTAAGATGTTAAGATGGAATACCTCATATAAATCTTTAATGACTGTATAAGTACTACAGGTGATGATGGATACTTGGAATTTTATACAAAGAAGACTACGGATGTGTTGTTATCTCTGAGGACTGTGATGGAATGTTTTGTAGACTGTAGTTTTCCTAACCCACTATACCAAGACAAAAGTAGTGCTAGCATTACTATTTGAAGGCAGAAATAGGTAGGAGGATTGTACTTGCCTAGACGGACTGCAAAAAAGAAAATGAGTCCTATTACCGGAAAGCACATCTGCATTTACATTCTTAATTTGGTGTAGATGTCTTAGGGCAACAGAATTTACTTAACATTAGGTCTGTCTGTCAACCTTACTTTAAAAAAAGTTGTAATAATAATAGTAAGAAACGAACAAATATAAGTTCCTGTCTACAACTTCGTTTAGTTAACCGAGTCATACCATAGTTAGTGTAGTGTGTAGTTAGTGGTTTGGCCACGTAATTGGAGTCACTATAGAACATGACGGATAATTACATAGGTACGGTATAAACGAATTTTGCTGTAAGAGCCTAGTTCTTCTTCTTCTTTCTTCTAGTTTGCCCATTATCGGCTCGTTATACGTCTGCGGTGTTTAAGAAATAAATTGCAAATTTCATTACATACGTTATATATACATACATACGTACATAACACATACATACAGCTCAAAATAATAATACGCCTAAAGAATGATTATTAAATTACATTTTTTTTTCAAATTAAATTATTTCCATTAAATCAAAGTCTCCGCCCTAGGCTAAGACCTAGGAGACTTTAACCTAAATCCACTACCGTACAAGGTTATTAAAAGAATGATTTATTACATAATAGTTTAAACACGAAGAATACGATAAGACCCAATAATCAACAATTTGTGTGGCGAACGAAATATTGGCTTCGATGAGGGTTTCAACCAGTGAAACCGCAACACACAGTAACGAAATCTAAATAAACAGAGAATTTTACATTTTGTACCAAATAGTTGTCAAAAAGGATAGTGTCACCTCCGTTTTTAATTATTATTATAGGCCAGTATTTGATTTTATGCTCCACATTATTTTACTTTAAGAAAATATTCTTTCGTAACATATTCATTCATTTTGTAGTAGCCTGTATTTGAATGAAGTTTTACAGAATGAAGATCTATTCATTAGCCACTATCAGAAGTATGAATAGCTGTCTGACATCATTGAAAAACGTGAATATGGTTCATTTGCTACCTGAATTTTAATGAATGCATCCAAGTTGCACTTGTCCCTACAGTAATATGGAATCATACATCGTTAGCTGTTTCATGTGCATTACATAATATTTCGTGAATGAAATAAAATGTTTATGTTATTTAAATATAAAAGTTATACAAAATTTTTATAAAAGAACTTAGTGATAGAACTCGGTTCCTATCTAGGAATAGGTTGATACTCCCTTATCTTTTGGTACTAAGCAGCAATGCATCAAACGTTCCAGTTTCAAGGATAACCATTAAAATCACCGTTAGACATGGCCGATTTTCATATTTCGGTAGGCAAATGGCACGTGACTCGGCTCGCACTGGTCGCTGACCTATTATGATCTACATATCTACGAGCCAGATGTATAACCATCTATGAAAGGTTTTGTGATGCTTTTGGCTTTTTAATAATAGCTACTTTAGGAATAAAAAACCTTATTTTGCTATTGTGTAAAATAAGGTTTTTTATTCCCTTACGCCATCGCTATACGACAATATTTCCTACTGTTAGTAATTGTGAGAACATATTCCATATTATAATTAAATCTTAGACATATTGTTTGTCTTTCTTTGTGCGTTTATGCACGCTAATTTTCACAAAGGCTAAACTAATTTGGATGTGGTTTTCATTGGTGTAATAAGATAAACTTGAGAAACATTTGGTATTTGCTTGGTTTCAGTCGGTTGAATAATAATAGTTGTTGGGAGCAATAAGCTCAAAGTTGTTGACGGGTGTTTTTACTTGGGTCAAATAGTGCGACTAGGTAAGTCCAACTTCGATCGAGAGGTCAATCGAAGGACTCAACTAAGCTGGGTGGCGTTCGTTCACGAGATTATGATACATCTTCTCATTAGGTAAACCCCAAAATTTTAAAACGGTATTGTACAATCAGTCCGTGTTTCCAAATATGACTTTCGAATGGAATAATGGAGACAATAGGTGGTTCTTTACTGCTGGCCATATGAAAAAGCTGAAGATCGGTCAGGGAGCAATGGAGAGGGCTGTTCTCGGGGTTTCTCTGCGTGATGAACTTAAAAACGGGGATATCCCCATTGGAACCAGAGTAACTAACATAGCCCGACGGATTAATAGACTTAAGTGCTTTGTGGCATTCGTTGGGGTAGGCTTATGTTCTGCACTGGACTTGTGAAGGGCTGTAATGATGATGATGAAATTCAATGTTTATTTATAAAATTTAAAAATCTTAACTTTTTCGTAAAATATCAAACAACATTTTTTTATTCTTATTTTATCAAAAAGTCAAAAGAAATATCTTTTGTATTTTGTTGCTGGTGATAAGAGGGCAGGTTTTTTCTGGCTCAAAGGTCAAGGACAGCGTTCATCATACAGCAAAGGAGGGAAATAAGTTGCCAGCCTCTGTGTTTCCATCCAATTACAATACGAGTGTCTTCAAGGCAGTGTGAATAGGCTTTTGTTAATAAGTGCGCTTCACCATCTTAGGCTTCAACACTACTTACAATCAAGTTAGGTGATGTAATAATTAAGTGCTGCCTTAGAATAATGTAAAAAAATTAGTTAGGAAACGCAGGCAGCGTTCTTGACGCGATACCACAGGGAGTGGGGCTGTATGATAATAAAGTTATTAGTTTTAGTTTTTTTACCATAATTATTTTAATATTGTTTATACTTTAATGTTAGAAGCTTCACTTTGTTATTTTTATTTTCCACATTTAAAATTTGAGGATAATATTTTACAGAAAAGTTTCTATAATTATTATTTGGCGATAGCAGGAAAAGAGTAAATCACTAGACAAATAATTCAAATCTGGGAGTCGTCAACACACATTCATGTTGCATGTAGGTACAACCAATAGAAAAATTCTAAAACATGGTACCTAATAATGGATTTCGGTTTTGATCGGACCGTAGTCATTATTGTGGAACGATAACAGTTAATAAAAACGATAAAGTTGGTAAAATAATGTTCATCTTTCCGGTAAAGGTGTAATTAAAATTTTACGACCGTTTTGTAGTACTGTTTGTTGTTGTGGAAACCCAGGTAGGTACTAACATGCTGCAGCTATTTATAGTTTTAAGAAAAGACCACGTTCTCATGCACAGAATATCGTAATATGTTTCGTAAAGAGAGATTCCCCTTTTGACTGGAAACGAGGCATTCCATATTCCTCGGAGGTGACCACAACTCCATTTTTATTATTAATCGAGGATAGATATAGATAATAAGCAGTTGCCGTGGCCTATGGGCAACTGCTTACGGTTTGAACCGTGGACAAAAAAGTGGCTTAAAAAAAGTAATTTAAATAAAAAATATTCCTGTAATTCAAAAATTTGCTTTATAACAAAGTATAAGTCTGACAACAGTTGATGATCAGTTCTTTCGTCCGAGATTGCACCGACGACGACCGACAACCAACCGACGCCTTTGTACTACTAGCGCCAAATAATTTTTCAATGCTTACAAACTAAAATGTAAATAGTGGTTAGGGATCTCATGTTTATTCAATGAAATACAGCGGCGCCATCGGAGTAGATTCAAAAAACTGTATCGATTTTACTAATCAAAAGAGACCTATAGTTTAACAATTTTAGCAACCATTCCACTTCCTGCGGCTAATTTTAGTGAATTAAGTGTCTACATTTATTTACTTACGGTTCCCAAAAAACGTTTGTTTATAAAATAATTAATTTAATTATACTTAAATTTATTTTTAATGATTGGAAAATTGAAAAAATTCATAGTAATCGAGCATTGTATTGCGCCTCGTTCGACTCCCGGTATCGCTTTAAGAGTAAATTTTAATTTTTGCGAATATTTAAATCGCTCGGCGTAACGGGTGGTAGAACTCCTTTTCTGCCTAGGAGTCCCTCTGGGCAGGTAC